AGTTGAAGTCCACATGCCTTAAAATTGTCAAGGTTGAGAAACACTGACATAATGCATTTAAGCCATAAAGCATGATTTATAAATCACAAACACTGGAGTTTTCCAACACACAATTCTTAAATTCAACACGTTATGCATTATATTAATATGATGTATGAAGCCAAGTGAAAAGATACCAGCCTGTTCTCTTACTGGTCATCTGGATTATATAAAACTCCACAACTAGGACATGATTGCAATGGCATTGTACATTTGCATTTTGCAGAAACTGGTATTAAAAGTATACTATCTCTAAAACTTGATAAAATATATAGCCAGTGGTGGGATTCAGCCACGTTGCACCAGTTTGGCAGAACCGGTAGCTAATTTTTTTGTTGCCCAGGCCAGAATGGACTTCTGGAAGCGGGATCCACACAAAGAACCGGTTGTTCGCATATTTGTGTATAGCCATTAGGAAATGATATATATCAGATATACTGATGGCCTTATCTCACATTGGCCAAAATCTGTCCTCACAATTTCTTATATAACTACATTTTGTAATTTAAATATGTATGGTGCAAAGATAAGTTTATTTTTAGTTGTTCCAAATCACATCATCTCACTTCATTGGATAACCATAGTTTCTAGTACTATGAGATAAGGATGCATAATGCATAATTTTTATACTTACATTGAATTCCTGCCTGATTCTTCCTGTCACTAAATTAAAAAGTCATAAAAGCTGTGATCTTTCTTTACACAGCACTTGTGCTAAGAATGCATTTTAAGGATAAAAACAGAACTGAGATTATTGGCCTCATTATTTTCTTACTCTAATTCACTTTCTGTTTTTAAAATATTGCTATAGTTTCTGAAATAATATTATAATTGTTACATTTTGATTTTTATGGAGGTTAAAGTTTCACTTTATTTATAATAAATAATAGTTCCCTTTATATTTTAATTAAGTGCAAATTGTATTACACTGTACTGAATTTTATTGAATTTGACCTTAGACTATTAATGAATATTAATGGTTCTCATTTCAAAAGCATGTAAAATTACAGATTGCAAATGAAAATATATATAGTAGCTCACAATAATAATATTTTTAAATAATATCAGTAAATTGAATTGCTTGGAATTCATCATCTATTTACTGTGTTACTCTGATCTAAAAGAACCATTGAACTTAGCCCAAATTCAATGTTAATTGTAATTTTTTCTCTTTTTTCTCTAAAAAAATGTTTATTAGGGGAATGTAGGCCATCAGAAAGTAGTCTGAGAAGTGTGCAACTGTTTTAATTGATATCTTTTCATTTTTCTGTATGTGAATTTTGATTAGTTTAAATTTGTTTGTTATCTGCAGATAATGGAAAAATGATAAGCCTTTTTAATAAATAATTCTGCTTCTTAATTACATTATTGGTTTTGCTACTTTTATTATTGTTGTGTTTTGAATGTTATTTCCTTTCGTCTTCTCACTCTCCTTCCTGACTTTTAAGACTTAAATATATCAGCAGTTATTTATCTACAGTGTACAAAGCCCAACAGAACCCTGGCAATATATGATTTCATTATCCAACCATTGAGGCATTCTGATTAAATGTTTCATATTTTTCATATTGTTGACTTTGGAATCATCAATCAATTTTTATTTGATCCTAGACTAGCAAACAGACTTTGAAATAATAATATATATATTTCTGTACATTATTCTTTTTTAAAAAAAAGACTGGATCACATTCTGCACTCACACATACAGAATATACAGAATAATAAAGTTGAAAGGGACCTTGGAGGTCTTCTAGTCCAACCTATATCATTTCAGACATGTGGTTGTCCAGTCCCTTCTTAAAAACTTCCTGTGTTGGAATATAATATACTGGTTTTGATTTGTTATGTGATGTGAATCCAGCCGTTTCTTTTGACTGAATAAAGTACTCTACGTGATGAAGACAATCCTCCAAATTAAAAACTGGCAACATGTAGAGAATAACAGACTCAGTTTTTAGAAAATGAGAAGCTGAGTATAAAGTTAATCTCTCTTGTAAGATTCAGGTATTCCTTTAAATCAGTGGCTTCTTGAATGAACCATAGTTTGATTCATATAACGTGTCAAAATCATAAACTGTAATTTACAAATCACAGAACTTATATTTATATAGTGCATCAAGCCATTATATAACCCAAAGCTGTAATACTTCATTATAGAGGTTCAGACAATCTTGCATGTACCCCTTCCTCAAAAGTCCAAGACAATGGGCACAGCTGTTTGTTCAAAGGCCTTTTGTTTGCAATGTCAAGGTTTTGATTGTATAGATGTATCTTCCAACTTAAACTTTGCCATTTGCCATAGGACACACTCAGGGTATTAAAATTGTAATTTTAAGTATGATGGAAAGGTAGGGAAAATGTGAGTGGATATATGTAATGTTAATAAAAATGTATGTGAAATATTTTTTTTTTTTTTACTATGCCTCCACGTGCTCCACATGTTACTTTTTAGAATGTGGTCCCTAGAACACAACTTGATCTTGCTATGCACCTCTGACTTAGTGGTGCATAATGGGGGAAACCATGTGTCACCATGCTTGTTTTCTCCTGCATAAGTGAATAGTTATCATTTATTTCTGAGGGAGGAAAGATATATACAAAATCCCTTTGCTAGGAGACCTAGCAGTAAATACACCATGGTAGACATGGCACCTTAGTTTGTCAAATAAGTGGAAACTGTTGGCAAAAAAGATGAGGAGTTCCATTACATGGGAGTTGGCTCTGCAAAGTAAAACTTAAGCTAACCTTTAAACAAAAGTGAACAATTAAACTCATTTTTTTATAATCAGTTTGCTGGCTTATGCAGTGAACTATTAAAATAATTACCAAGTTAGCAGAGTGATATTTCTTCATTTTTGCTAGTTAAAAATTATATTATCTTGTGCCAAGAATAAGTTGTAGCCTATATTGTGCTGATGTAAATGCAAGAGAAAGTTATCTAGCACTCTTCCATTACATTTAATGGCTATAGTACTTAAGACTAATTTACTTTTGAGTCATAATGCTTAGGTTGTAAATAAATTTGAGCAGAGGGTTTATATGAAGGTTTCACCCCTATGCACACTTATATGGAGACTTTTCTCAGTAATAAGCAGAATACACAGTCATTGGTAGTATTCTGAGCATTCTGAATATTTTACTCCAAAGTAATGGATCAATATATATATTTGTGCCAGGAAAAGAGTGAAAGAGTTGATTTAAAAAGTCACCAGCACTGATAATGTATCTATTGATCAGAACAGGGTATTGTCTAAATGTCATGTATTTATGTGAATGTTGGCTGTTTGTATTTAGCACATTTCCATTTTAGGATTATATTTTCCTTATCTCTTTTATCTTGGAAATAGACCTTACATTTTACTTTGATTTGGTATGATGTAGGGATAAGATTAATGAATCTATCTATCTATCTATCTATCTATCTATCTATCTATCTATCTATCTATCTATCTATCTATCTATCATCTAACTTCATCTACCTAGAAGAGTAAAACCACTATTGTTTTAATTCTGTATTCCTTTTATGGAATACTTTTGTAGTTTTCTTCTACACGCTCAGCCTTAAGATAATGATCTTGGTGCGATTAAGCAAAGCTCACACATCATACTAAAAAAGCACTGTTTGTGAACTGTTCAGTAAGTCATATTAGCCTGTTTTATAATACAGGGGTTCGTGCCTTTTTGTAAACCAGAAATCAACCACGTTATGCTTTAAATTTAGCATGATATGATAGCTGCTTGAAATTGTTCTGCAAGCAGCAAGATCTGACTGCTGGCACAGTGACAGATTCTATTACAAATCAGGGCTGTTTCTGAAGGAGGCAGAGAGGTCGCGGGACTTATGGAGCGAAGGAATTGGATGAAGCTGTCGGCAGGCCCAGAGGAAGAGAGAGACGCCTTTGGAGGAGTTGGAGGCTGCAGCATGTTCTAGGGGCAAAAAGGAGCGAGGCCCCTTTAAGAAAAAGGTGGAAGAGACAGGATGAGAAAAAGAAAAGGAGGCGAGGTTGTCATGCATGAATACAAACTAATTTGATGGCTAATCCACATGGAGCTCCATTTCCATCTGCCCTGTTTGCCATTGTTCACTCCTTAGAGACTAAAATGGATGTTCTGAAATTTGAGCTGGCCACGAACAAGGAGTGTATATTGGAGGTGGTGGCCCTTTGAGAGCTGTATGCAACAAAATTTCATTTTGATGTGTGCTGATTGGTGTACATTCAAAGTGACAATAAGGTAGTTGTAGTTGTAGTAGTTGTTATTATATTACTATTACTACTACTATTATTATTATTTACAAACTGAGTCTGAATCTACAGAAGTTACTGCCTGGGAAAGATATTGCTTTGAACATCTTTGGGCTCTTTGAAAATATAAATAAAAGTAGATAGCATATATTATCTTAAAAGAGAAAGACAGAGGGAGCCAGTAAAGTATAGCAATTAAGATATTGGATCAGCACCTTGCAGGACAGGTTCAACTTCACTTTCTGCCAGAAACATTCAGGGAATGACTTTGTGTACTCATTCGGTTCGAGTACAGAGCACTATTGATGTGGGGAAAAAGCTCTGAGCTCATAAAGGAGCAATGGAATATAAATCAAATAATCCATTTATAAATACTTACTTAAAATTTTATTCTTGTCCCAAACAGCACAATAAGACATACATAAAATATCATATTTAATAAACTTTAATAAATTTGGCTCAACATATTGAAGATTTAAAAAAAAAATTTTGCCTATTTGTTGATTCTCATTTTTTGAGCTAATATAGCAATAATGGCAGGTCTGAACAGGTTGGGATGCAACTAGTACACAAATTGATTATAAAATATTTCGGTAAACAAGGGTACTAGGAGTTGAGGAATGAGACTTTTTTTAGTCTACATAAGTAAACTATTTTCTTTTGACTTTTACATTTGATATGCAGGTGTACATATCTAATTCATTTTCACATAGTTTATTTTGAAGTTGTAATTATTATTTTGACCTTTTATTGTAAACTGACATGGAAAAAATATGAAGGAGAAGTTAGTAATAACAATAAACATACAGTTTTTTTTTTTTGAAACAATCCTTCCCCATCAGTTCCTAAAATTAGCCATTTGTCTGACAAATTTGAGCTGTGGAAAACTACTTTTGTCTCAGTGTTATCCAACATCTGCAGTCTGCATGAAAGTCTAAAAACCTAGAGAATGAAGGAAATTATGTTTATAAATCATATCAAAGTTTTCCTTTCATCTTTTTTCCCCCTTGCTTACTCCTGACTTATTTTTGATCTTCAGGATTTAAAAGCTCACCTGCAAAAACAGGTTCTGCTCCAACCAGGGAATTCTGTCTGGCGTTTGTGTTTTATCCATTTCAGTAACAAATTATTTTTGTACTTTTTGAATTGAAAAATGGCAGGGTGAAGAATTAATACAGTGGTTTTCTTTTTTTAAAAATGGCAACTTTAAGGGATGCAGACAGACAGCATTCCTCATGCTAGCTAAGGTATTCTGGTAGTTGAAGTCCACACCTCTTAAAGTTGCCAAGCTTAAAAATACTAAACTTTGTGGAAACAAAGGAAGCAAAAAAGCTGTTCTGAAGAAATAATATGTCACAATGTCCTTTCAGATCTCAACAACAAAAATAAAACAAAAAAATGCATGTAAATTGTTCTCAAGGCTGTGAATTATTCTGATCTATTTTGGGATGTTTGCCATATAAATATAACCAGAACATCAGGCTTTCTCATGTATCAGTACTACCCCACAGAAAGGCTTATGAGCTGAACCCCCTTGCATTCTATGACTGCTTTTGCAATATTATTTTCCAGACAGTGTTGATACCGGAGCTCTTCCAATGCCTTGATCCTAACATATCTGGCGGATACCCATTGGCAAAAAACTGTTTCCTATGTTTTGCCATTAGCTGTTTATCAATATGAGTTGAACCTCTTACCCATTGGACAGATCCTGATGCAGCTTCTCTACTGTTTCCTCATAAGAGGGATGACACACACCCTAAAGATAAACAATAGTGGTCTTCAGAAGTTAACAGAGTCAAAATGATTGTTGCAACAGTGTGATCAAGATCATGCCCCATTTTTGTATGACTCATAATTAGGGGATTTCATCCTGTGGCTGCATCTGCCTTCTTGCCTCTTTTTAACCTACCCTTGTGGATACTCCTGATAAATACAAGAATCCACAAATTGGACGTGCACAGTATGAAAGGTTAAAATAAGTTTGGATAGTTTGAAGCCTTATTGCACATACAGCATGCAGACCTAGCTAACATGGCTAGTTAATGGTTGTTCATAAGGTGACCAACCTTCCTCCTTTAGGGAGGACAGTCCTCCTTTTGTAAGTTCTGTCCTCCCTCAAAAAGTGTCCTCCTACATGTCCTCCTTTTTGATATTTGAAGACTAATCTGCAGGGCTTTTTTTTCAACTGGTTTCATGGTGGGTTTTTTTTCAACTTTTGCATGAGCTGTGCTACTCTCGCTATTGGTTTTTGAAATCCAATAGGAATTGCTGCTGAACACACCAAAACTCCCGGCTGGCAAACTTTGCACATGCAAGTTGTCTGCAGCGAAGGCGAATTGGCAGGAACTTTGCACCCCTCCCTGCTACCCAACTACACCATCTCCTAGTTAGTCCCAAAGATACCTGGAGGAGACTGGAGCGGTGATGCCACGGTAAGTTTCTCTTGATCTTCGGCCCTGCTAGAGCAATAATGTTGATACTCTAGCTGCAGCACTTGCCATAAAATTCAATATGAAGGATATTTCTTGTTCAGATATTTCCAATATATTGTTAGAAGATGATACATTGACAAAAATATTTAATGGAAAAGTACTCATTTAAATAATAATTAATAGGCGTGTAAGCATAATTACAATATAAAATGTTATTGTTACATTGGTTTTTATTATGCATTTATCATATTATAGTGTATTCTGTATTATTGTTGCAATGAATAAAATGTTTCTTTTATTTACGATATTTTTTTCTTCAATTTATTTGTGTCCTCTTCATTGTAAAAAAGTTGGTCACCTTATTGTTCAGCATATCACAAGAACCTAAAAAATGGGAAAAGTTGAATAAATTATGATTGCTAAGCAGGCCTGCAGGAAGTAGGCTTTATAAGGTTTGCTGTACACTACTGAACATACTGATTTCAAGAAAAGAAGTTCACAGTTTATCTGGAAATGTATTTTGTTTGCTCAGAACCATGATTCTACTCTGGGCTTCAGTTAACACTGTAAAGCTAGTTTACTATGACTTTGATTATAATTAGATAACAATAACTCTTCTGAATTCTAGCGTCAGTGCTTCTGATGCTACTGGGTTTCTTTTTAAGTTTTGCTGGCTGAAGTCTGTAAAAGAGATTAATTACTCAAGAATAGCAACAGACTAGCTTAATATGGTCTGAATATAATTCCTGAGGCATATTTTCCTTTAAAAAGTATTTTTTTCTGAATTTGGGTAGCTTTAAGAAAGCTGCAGTCTAGATTTGAAAGTTTACACAAAGGTGACATATTTTCCCTTGTAGAACACTTTTTTATCCTCTCTGGGATATTTTCCAGGAGAAAAGATATATTGGAGGCAAAAAATAATGAATAGTTCTAAGTATATTGATAATAGCCTTAGAGATGGGGGCTTGCCTAAGTTCAGGCAAGGATCCTAAAAAAACAAAAAACAAAACCGAACTGGGTTTGCATAATTTTTTAGTAACCATGAACAATCATGGCTGTTCTCATCTAACTTCTTGAGGCATAAAGAATGTTGCAAAGGAAGGCATTACATTTTATAAAAGCAATCTGGATAACCAAGATACAACCTTAAAGAAACCTAAGCATTTGCTTAGAGCAGGAGTCTTCAAACTTGGCCCTTTTATGACTTGTGGACTTCAACTCCCAGAATTCCTCAGCCAGACATGCTGGCTGAGGAATTCTGGGAGTTGAAGTCCACAAGTCATAAAAGGGCCAAATTTAAAGACCAGGGGTCTTGGGCAGCATAATGGATAGGAGCAGTGGCAGGTAGGAGCAGCGACTCGGGTGAACACTGGAAAGCATAAAAAGAATACAGAAAATCCTAACTCTTTGTTGCCATCTGATGGTTATTAGGATTTTGCTATTAAAATCTGGTACTTGTAGCATTGGTATAATCTGCTCGTACCAAGCCATCCCCAAGAGATCACTCTGAGCTACCACTGCTGACATTTGTCCCTGAGAGTGATTAATATATGCAAGCCTTGGACACCGGTGTTAAGTCTTCTCCCTCAAATGAAACTAATTGCCTTTTAATTGAATACTTGTGATAAAAAGGGAGGCACTATCTATCTTGTGGCCCCAACAGCTCTACTTCCACTTGCCAGAAAGGTAAGTAAGCCACATTAGACTTAATCCAGTCTCAAAAATATTGGAGTCCAGAGAAAGAGAGGATGGCCCCTCTTCTTAAAACTGAACTGCCAATCCAATTGTTCCTGCTCACTGTCCCCAAGTATTTTTTTTTAAAGAAGGGAAACGTTTACAACTAATAGTGGTATGGACCTTGACCCAACATTTAAGATGTTAAAGTGCAGGAGATAGTATTTCAGTTAAAATAACTCTCCAAGATACAAAAGGGAGTAAGGTTTCTAGTAAAGTTCAAATGTGCTTGCTTTGTTCCAACTTCCTAGGTCTGTTTGTTATGGCAACTTTGAGATCAATGTCCAATTTAGAGCACATTAAATATTTCCTTTCTTTGTCTAAGCTTAAAGATTGGTAGACCATTTGGTTCAAAGCTGTGGCTAAAATAAAAAAACACAGGATCAGTGCAGACTTCATGCAAAGCCAACCATCCATATGTACATTTGGGCAACTCCCATAAAATAGAAAAAGAAATAAAGACCTTGATGAAATACAAATGGAACTGCCAAACATTTCTCTTCTATAAATATTTATATATTTCTGCAATTTATCTGGCAGCTTTAACTTGTTGAAACAAGTGCCTTGGCAGAATGCCTTAGCAATCTGTTCTGTCATTTGAATCTGTACCTGCAATTTTACCCAGTAAATGGTTTTAAATCGTAAACTTAATTATAATTCAAAACAGAACCTTTTTTAATAGTATTTTGTTTCATGCTGTCTGCTTTGAGAGATGCAACCCTTCCCCCAGGGTGGATAATAATGATTTTTTAAAAATAAAAAATGCATTTTTTAATTTAAATTGGATTTTTTTTATTTTTATCAAATTTATTTTAATAAAATGCTTTTGGAGTAAAAAATCTATCTAAAGATAGTTTTATATTTAAGATACATTAATAATTTAGTTTATTCAGCATGAAGTGGAGCTTAGTTAGGTAGCATGAGACTGTATATTCTGCAATATTTACATTTTTGGTAAACTCATTCTATGAATCCAAGCTCTGCAAGCTGAGATAACATGCACTGCATCTATGCATTCACACAATTTCAAAGTAACTATGAGATAAATCATAAAACAAAGTTCAGGAATATTCCTTTATCCCATTGTTTTGCAAATATATGTACACTACAAACTGTATGATTGTTGGAGGAGAGTTGCACCTGTACCAGGCTCTAAGTGTTTTAATTAAAAGAATTTGAGTAGTTTTCCAACTATGTGTGATTAAGCTATTAACCTAAAATCGGTTCTGATATCGCTGTCTTACTAACCTGACAGCTTATTATTCTAAATAGGAAACCTTCATTTTGTTAGCAAATAATAATATTAAATATTTTAATTACCAGCAAGAATGAGTCCTTACATTTAAAGAGCACCTGTCATTTCACATCCATCATGGAGCGCCTATTAGCGGGCATCTACTCACCTGCTGCCTGCCACATCCCTCACCTTGTTGTGTCATTGCCATCCCATTAAAGTGAATGGAACTGTCGGTGAGTCAACAGCGGATCAGAGGAGAAGCCGCTGCAGGATTCTCTTTAAAAAATATTATTTAAATTGAGTTGATTTAAAGCAAGCCTTTTTACTAGTGATTTAAATCATCATCTTGTTGAAACTACTTTTTGCTTTTGATTCTTGACCCATCCTTGTTCTTCATCTGAAATATTTTAGTTCATGCATAATATAAACCTTGAGTATAAAAAATACAGGTCCTTTCATTTGGATTCCTTCATAGAGCACGACCAGTGTTTTGATGGTCTTAAACAGTCTCTTCCAACTGTATAATAATGTTTAAATTGTCTCTTTTAAATTTAATCAAAGGACCAATGCATTTAATTTTGCATATATATAAATATTTTCAAATAAGTAAAAGATTATGTCTAACACAGTCTCATGGTCCATATGATTTAAATCAAACTACATGTGATATGCCCACTTTAACTGCTTAATCAGACAATTCCAAGCAAATGTATTTCTATTCTGCACGGAGGTCTCACTGGGTCAACTCTACCATTAAGCAAAAAGAGATGGCCACTCCAAGAATCAAGTTTGAGAGTCCATGAAACTGCAGCACCTTTTAAATTATTTCAGTTATTACATACAGTAAGTAATTCTGGGAAATGGGAGAAGGGGCGTTGTCTTACCTGAACATCTTTTCTCAGTACGGAGATGGAGAATCCACCTATGGGTTTTCTCTGTCTGCCTGCTCTTGAGACCAAGTAGCCAAATTAGCCACACCCCTCTTGCCAGGAGATCCAGTCTTAACAAGGGCGAAGCGGCTGAAGATGAACTTGACGTTGGCTCTCAATTCCCTAGAACGGCCTAACTGACCCTACGGTGGGTGTGGATTCTCCATCTCCGTACTGAGAAAAGGCATTCAGGTAAGACAATGCCCCTTCTCCAGTACAGGAGATGGAGAATCCACCTATGGGACATACCAAAACCTCACTGTCCCGATAGGTGGGAAACAGATAAGGCCGGAATAGATTCCCCAGAGACCATTTGCTGGAGGACCCTCCTACCAAAGGAGGTGTCTGCCGAAGCAAAACAGTCAATTTTGTAGTGGCGTACAAATGGAGATGGCGAGGACCATGTCGCAGCCCTGCAAATCTCCTCAATGGATGCCTGAGTGGCCCAAGCCGCAGAGGTTGCAGCACTGCGAGTGGAATGGGCAGTAAGATGACTTGGAGTCGGCAGGGAAGCAGACTGGTACGCTTCTGCTGTACAATTTCAGATCCACCTGCCAATGGTGCCCGCAGAAACCTTCTGTCCCATGGAAGCCGATCGGAATGAAACAAAGATATTTGTCTGGCTGATGTGATGGCTATCAGGAATGCCACTTTTAGGGACAGGTGTTTCAATGAAATGGTTCCTAGAGGTTCAAATGGTGGTTTTGTGAGAGCACGGAGGACTCTCGGTAACTCCCACGTTGGGTACCTGTGAACAACAGGAAGTCTGGTGTTGCACGCCCCTTTGATAAATGCACAAATCCTGGGATGGTGAGCCAAGGGAACCGAATCCCGACACGAGAGAAGAGTGGACAGGGCCGCTACTTGTCTGCGAATAGTCGCAGGGGCAAGGCCTCTGTCCAGTCCGTCCAACAGGTAATCCACTATTTGGGGAATGGTCAATTTGGATATGACAAGTTGTCGCCTCCTACACCAAAGGCAAAAATTCTTCCAAGTGAAATCATAGATGTGATTGGTCGCAGGACAGCGCACAGCCTGAATCATGGAAATGGGTCGTGAGGAAAATGATTCTTGTGCCATTATGCTGGGTTCAAGTGCCAGGTGGTCAGTTGCAACCATTGGGGAT